TTCTGTTAACCCGGGAGAAGGTGTTAGGGATTTCCGGGTTCCGTGGTTCTAGCACGGTCGCTCAACTGTTATTATTGGCCTATTTGTATGATCGATTTACATGTTTTAACCAATGGTGCATTTTTAGCTTATTAACCGCTTTTAATTATTCTATGAAGATTCAACGTTATTTAAAACATGCCTTGAACCACGCCACATGAAATGCACCCGTGGTTCGCAACACCTTCTATTTAACATTGTTAAGAATTGAATTTGGGTCACATGAAATGTGCACCCGAGTTTAGTAAATAAGAGAAAGTTAATTTAAAGAACGCGCCTAAAGCAACTACGATAGTCCAAATTAATAACAAAGTTTGCGAGGGCCATGCAAAATTCAATTGATGGCACACCTCGAATTACTCCCTTTAAAGAATGATTTCTTGATATAGTCTTTGAGGGCCATAAATTGTATGTTTAGCTAATACGGCGCACCTCAATCTAATTAAAGGAGTCGTTTTTAACTAAGCCTAAATGGTTTGATATTAAAGGAGTTATTAATTGTGAGCACCATTGGGCCATGAGTTGTTTCAAAGAACTGGGCCAAGTATGAATTCCTCGAGTTGTAAAAATAAGATGGCCCAAATTACTAAAGAATGACAAAGAACCACGCCTTGGGGAAAAAGGCCTAAAACGGACGAGCCTGATCTAGCTGGGCCGTCTTGGGCCATTTAATGGGACCAGCTGTTTAAAAGATATGGTCCAGCATTTCAGCATCTATTATACTTGGATTAATCAAACCTTAATTCACATTAGACTAATTGATTTCACCAAAACCAAATAAAAGATTCACCATATAATTTAAACCTAAATTGCAGAACAGAACACTTCACGCTCAAAGAACACACAAATCATATGCATTTGAAAGTCAGACCTACTACTCATTAACGTTGAACTCATACACTTAGTGAATCTAACAGTAGAGTACTTTAATCATTCAAACTAGATATCGAAATACAACAGTGGTTCCTATATTTATTTGGATATTAAAACCAACATTTAAAACAGCAACACTATGAGAAGAGCTTGTAGACTGATTGATTATCACTACTAGCTCAGAATAACTCAGTCAAAATCTCACAAAAAGAAGACACTACTCATCTAAATCAACTCATGCTGCAACAGTCCACATTAAATACATGACGAAAGTAGGTGACTAAACTAAACTCTAAACACAACCCCAAAGGTGCTGTCAATAACATAACTATAGTAGCTCATGTAATAAACTAATTCGATAAAGAAAAAAAACATGAATAATCTTTGAAAAAAAATAAGGCTTAACATTCAACAAATTCCCATTCATCCATAAGTGCTCAAATTGATCATATGGCTTCAAACGTGCATTTCATACATTCATAGGGTCCACAAGGTACCTGGTTACGGTAAAAACAACAAGGAAAGTAAGCTTGAAGTTTGGAGAAAACAGCAACAATGTATCAGCAGCACCAACACAGCCAAACAACAGCAATATTCAGTCCTTTTAAACCATTTTGAACCCAGAATGAACCAGAAGTTCTTGAGAAAGTTTCAAGCTATGAAGATAAACAGCAGAACTAAGCCAATTTCTACCAAAAATGCAAGAGATTTTCAGTGTTTTTGAGCTCAGCTGTTTTCTCAGTTTTTCAGGTTTTTTATCTCTAAAGTCTCCCTTGAAAAGAAAGAAACAGGCTTCTTGTAGAGAGCCTTTAGGGCAGCAGAAATAACCCTATTATGTATCAATTACCCCTTCCGCGATTTTCCATTCTTCCATTTTAAGCCCTGAATTTCTAAACCAATTACTGAACTAACCCAAACCCCTCTTTCCTGGAAGTTTCCTATTCAGCTTTTAAAGATACTCTCAATCAAATTCCCCCAAATACCCTTTAACCCCTTGTTATTTACCCTCATGAACCAGACATGGGTCAAGCTGACCCAAAAATCAAACCAAAAACCATGGGCTTGCAAACCCGGATTGACCCTCCCCTCTTTGGGCTTCTGCTGATAGAGCCCAAGTCCAAATCAAAAACCAAAACAAAACCCACAAAAATACAGGCTAATGGAGTTGCAAAAACCAGAATTCTCTTGAAACAAAACAAAAAAGAATTGATCAAAACCAAACACGAAAATCAAAATGTAAACTAGTATGCTTTTAATTCTAGACATGCAAACAGAAAGATGATTCAAAAACGGAAAAAATAATAATGAAAAAGAAAGGAATCAGAAGGAAATGAAGACGAAAAACAGAACGAAGGAAGGAAAAAAAGTGAGAAAAGAACGATGGTACCTAAATATGCAGACGGATAGGGCTTGAAAGGATCTCTGACACTTTCGATTTGGGCCAAAATTGGCATTAATCGCGTGTTCTCGTTGAGAATAGACGAATAATACTAGTTTCGGCCTTAATCACTCTTGGAAACTCGAAGTTTTAGAAGATTTGTCTTTTCTTCTGCTTTTATTTTAGATCAAAAATTGGTCCGATTTGGTAAGGATTGGAGGAGATATGGTGGTAGATTGGGACTCAGGGGGTGAGTGGTGGTTGTGTGGTTAAATTTTGAGAGGATTTGGAAGCCGCTGCCGGCCGGTGATGGTGAACAATTTCAAGGCGGCGGTAGGGTTAGAGGTCTCTGAATATAGACGATGAGTGAAGGGAGATGAAGTGAGATGGTCCTTAGGTTATTTGGATAGTTTTAAATGAATTTGGTGAGGCTTCTCTGGCCATTGGATGGTGGAAGACGAAGGGCCAGGATCTTTTTGATGCCACTGAACTCAGAACGACGTCGTTTGAGTCGTCCTGATGTTTGAATGGGTTTGGACCGGGTTATAAGGAATGGGTTGGGGCGGAATTTGATTGGGCCTGGGGAAATTCAATTGGGCTGTGACGAATTGGCCCAAAATCACAGCCTTTCTTTTGATTCTTTTTTCTTTTCTTTTCAATTTCCAATTTCCCTTTTTTTTCTTTTCTTCGAATTAAATTAAAACCTAAATTAACTCTTAAACTAAATTAATTTACCAAATTAAGCTAATCACTCATCGTAGTATTTACAAAAATTAATTGAATCCTAAATTAAAAGAAAGACTATAAAATTTAAAATGAAAAGGTTAAAAATGCAAAGAGAGTCATTTTTTTTTGTGATTTTTCATTTTTATAAAACAACTAGTTTACTAATTAACCAAAAAGTTTAAATATAAATCCTAAATGCAAATGCAGAGTATTTTTGTATTGTCATAATTTAAATAAAAATTAAACATGCACAGACAAATGAAAATAATTTAGAAAATTCTACAAAAATTCCTAAAAATGGCAAATAATTAAAAAAAAGTCTATTTCCTTGGGATTCTGTAGGAGTATTTCATATAGGGCAAAAATCACGTGCTCACAATAGGTGCTCGAACCTCTTGATATTATGAAGAGGCATCAGAAGAGTGAACCTAAATAGCAAAAGTGGTATAAATACGTATTATTGGAAATTAATAAGCATAACGTTACAGAATTTGTATTAAATCAACTACGATTGTCAATTATGACGTTACATTAAATGCCATTAATTGTCCATAAAGACTCAACTATGAAAAGAGAAAAAGTATTACTTAGAAATAGCTATAAAAGGTGAAGAATGAACATTTGTAAGGGCACAAAATACTATTGGAAAACACTGATTTATTTTGCTTTCTATTCAGCTATTATTTACATCAATTATTCCTATTTCTACTTGATTATCAGTAACCCGAGTTCTTCTAAAATAAGCTTTGACCGAAATCCCAATTTTTGGTTAAACAAATTGATTCCGTTACCGGGAATCTGATAATCTATTCCTTCCTAAATTAATCTTTTTGTCAAATCTGTCATGTCAAATGTCAATGACAACAATCAAAGAGACCGTCAACTCCAGGAGAATCAGCAAGGTGATGGAACCTCGGTCCCTTCCCCACGAAATTCTCCTCGACAATCTCGAGATGGAACTCCTGATGGATCTCAATCAAATGCAAATGATCAATTGGAAAATGATGAGGCTATAAACGAAGCTTTGCAAAAGTTAATCGCTCAATAGGTCAGCAAAGCTCTTGAGGCTTTCGCTAACTAGCTACCAGTTGTGCCACCAACATCAACTCCAAACAACAACACCTTAGAAAATCCTCGCTCAGGACTCGTTAACTCAGGCAGTGGGGGAACCCCTAGCGAATCTCGTGATGGAGGGTCAGGTAACCCAATTAATTCTGATTTAAAAAATTTAGTGCTAACTTTGTAGAAATAGCTCAAGGAACAAAGCGACCGCATAGAGTAAATACCTGGAGTACCGCCTGTAATCAAGGGGATAGATATGGACAAATACTCACAACAACCTTGGAAGCCAAGTGTTGGTCCTTTACCAATTCCGAAGAAATTTAAGATGCCCGATATCCCAAAATACCATGGTACCACTGATCCACGAGATCACGTAACTGCTTTCACAACCGGTGTAAAAGGCAACGACTTGACCAAGAAGGAAATTGAATCAGTTTTGATCAAAAAATTCGGAGAAACACTCACTAAGGGAGCATTAACATGGTACTCTCTTTTACCTGAAATTTCTATAGATTCTTTTGCTGAACTTGCAGATTCATTCATCAAAGCACACTCGGGAGCTCAAAAAGTTGAGAAAAGAATGGAGGAAATTTTTAAAATAAACCAAGGAGATACGGAGCTGCTCAGGGAATTCGTAGACAGGTTCCAGCATGAAAGGATGATGTTTCCACGTGTACCAGATAATTGGGCAGCGATGGCATTTGCCAGCAATCTAAACGAAAAAAGTTCAGAAGCCACGAAGAGACTCAAGGAAAGCCTACGAGAATTTCCAGCTACAACTTGGTATGTTGTTTATAACAGATACAGCATGAAGCTGCGGATAGAAGAGGATACCATCATTCAATCTCAAAGGGATGAAAAGATAAGTTCAAGGCGAGCTAAAACTGAAAAAAGGTCCGGTAAAAACAGGTACGAACCTTACATGGGACCAGCAGGAAGAGACTCACGATCAAAACAGGATAACCTCGGGTACGATCATAGATCAAGAGATAGGGAGTCGGGTTCATCATCAAGGTTCGGGAAGGAACGAAACGCACGAGAGACGCGTGGTGATGACAGAAGCTCTAAGGCGAAGATCGGCGGTTACAGTTTTAATGTAAGCACGTCCGAATTGGTGGATGTTTTGAGGAGCATGGGCGACAAGGTACGCTGGCCAAAAGAAATGAGATCAAATCCAAACAGGCAAAATCCTGATTATTGGTGCGAGTTTCACCATGATCACAGTCACAAAATGGCGGATTGTAGGTTGCTGCAAGGTGAAGTTGAATATTTATTGAAGCAAGGGTATCTAACTGGATTATTTAGTGAAAAAGGAAAGCAGGCATATATGAAAAACAGACAGGAGCCCCCAAAACCCCCTTCACCAAAAAGGACTATTAATGTCATAAGTGGGGGAGAAGAAATCAATGGCGTAACAGCATCCAAGAAAGTTTCAAAAAATTACAGTCACATATGGGAAGCGAGTTCGACGTGTTTTGGAAGAAGAAAGTATTACATTTGATGATGCAGATGCAGATGGCGTACTAACCCCACACAATGACGCGCTGGTAATATCTTTACTTGTACATGACACTAATGTGAAACGAGTTTTGATTGATCCAGGCAGCTCCGTGAATACCATTCTATTAAGAGTGGTAAACGAAATGCAAGCTGAAGATAAGCTAATACCCAAGGCGCACACCTTATTTGGTTTTGACAACTCGAGCGTTGTAACAAAAGGTGAGATAATACTCACCACATTCGCAGAAGGAGTTGTCAAAGACACGAAATTTCAGGTGGTTGAGATGGACATGGCTTACAATATGATCCTCGGTAGACCATGGATTCACGAAATGGATGCTGTGCCATCTACCCTACACCAAGTTATTAAATTCCCTTCTCAATGGGGAATACGACAAATCCGCGGTGACCAGCAAGCGTCCAGGAGCATCAATTCCGTAGCAGATTCAAGTGCAAAAAATGAAGAAAAATAGCAATTACAGAATTCAGTTGAGGATGATGCAACACAAATCTCAACTGAACACGGGAAAACAGATGTAGACTCAAGGCCCGATACCATCCAAGAGCCAGAGGAAAACGAAAACATCAAAACAACGATTGAGGAATTGGAAGCCGTAGTACTATTCGCATCCCGGCCTGAGAGGAAAGTCTACCTTGGGGCCAACCTCAACTAGGAAATGAAAGGTAAGTTGACTGAATTTTTGAAAACTAACGTGGATTGTTTTGCCTGGTCCCATTCTGATATGACAGGGATACCTTCGGAAGTGATGACCCACAAGTTAAATGAAGATCCATCATATCCACTTGTCAAACAAAAGAAAAGAAAGCAAGTATCTTTCAAAAATCAGGTGATTCAAGAAGAGGTACAACAACTTTTAAAAATTGGGTCCATCCGCGAGGTAAAATATCCAAATTGGTTAGCTAATACAGTAGTGGTACCTAAAAAGAATGGTAAGTGGCGAGTTTGTGTAGATTATACTGACCTAAACAAAGCTTGTCCTAAAGATTCTTTTCCATTACCGCATATAGATCAACTAATTGATGCCACTGCAGGACATGAATTGTTAAGTTTTTTAGATGCATATTCAGGGTATAATCAAATCAAAATGGATCCCATAGATGAGGAAAAAACTTCATTTATAACAGACAGGGGGACTTACTGTTACAAAGTAATGCCATTTGGTCTCAAGAACGCTGGAGCCACATATCAAAGGTTGGTGACTAAAATGTTTCAAGAACATTTAGGAAAAACCATGGAAGTCTAGATAGATGATATGCTAGTCAAGTCACAACAAGCAGGGGATCATATCCAACACTTGTCTGATACATTTCAGATTCTCCGTAAATTTAACATGAAGCTAAACCCCGAAAAATGTGCATTTGGAGTTTCATCAGGTAAGTTCTTGGGATTTCTTGTTTCTAACCGTGGCATTGAAGTAAATCCCGCGCAGATTAAAGCTATTGAGGAAATTCCTGATATACTTACAAGTAAAAAAGAAGTACAGAGACTGACGGGGAGAATAGCAGCCTTGGGAAGATTTATTTCCAAATCATCAGAAAAATGCTTCAGGTTCTTTTCAGCTCTAAAAAAGCAGGATCAGTTCGAATGGTCTGAGGAATGTCAGCAAGCGCTTAAAAATTTGAAAATATACTTGTCAAATCCACCGTTGCTCGCGAAGCCAAAAGATGGGGAGAAACTACTCATCTACCTTGCTGTTTCAGAAGTAGCGGTAAGTGCTGTTTTAGTTCGTGAAGACCAAGGTAAACAGTCTCCAATTTATTATGTTAGCAAGTCATTATTAGATGCTGAGACTCGATATCCTCATCTAGAAAAACTTGCACTTGCATTGATCATGGCATCTAGGAAATTAAGACCTTATTTTCAATGCCATCTCATCTCTGTAGTAACTGCTTACCTCCTACGTAATATACTACATAAACAAGAGCTATCAGGTAGATTAGCAAAGTGGGCCATAGAACTAAGTGAATATGACATTGCGTATCAACCTAGAACAGCAATAAAGTCGCAAGTTTTAGCAGATTTTGTGGCAGATTTTAGCCAAAAGATGCAACTAGAAGCAGAAAAAGAACTGCAGGTATTCATTGGGTCTAATCCAGGAACTTGGACTCTATTTACTAATGGTTCTTCAAATGTAAAAGGGGCAGGTCTAGGTATTGTTTTGGTACCACCTACGGGAGAAACCATACGACAAGCTATAAAATGTCACCCTATTACTAACAATGAGGCAGAATATGAAGCTGTGATTGCAGGTTTAGAACTGGCACGCGAGCTTGGCATAGAACAGGTCGTAATCAAAAGCGATTCACAGCTCGTAGTTAACCAAATTCTGGGGACTTACACAGCTAGAGAGGCAAGAATGCAGCAATACCTGGAAAAGGTACGTGATCTGGTTAGGCAATTTCAAACCTGGAAAGTCGTGCAGGCACCAAGAGAGGAGAATGTCGAGGATGACGCCCTAGCTAATCTTGCATCTGCTGCAGAAGTAACAAATGATGAAAATGCTTCTGTAATTCATTTATTTCATTCAGTACTTGATCAAGACAAAAACGAGGTAAATTTCAATAATTTAACTTGGGATTTGAGGAACGAGATTGTCACTTTTTTGCAGTATGGAATATTACCTGAAGATAAGAAAAAGGCTCAAGTACTTCGGAAAAAAGCTGCTCGATACTGTTTAAAGCAAGGCAATCTTTGTCGTAAAATGTTCGGTGGTCCTCTAGCAAGATGCCTCGGGCCTTCTCAAACAGAATATGTGATGAGAGAAATACACGAGGGGCATTGTGGAAATCACGCAGGAGGAAGATCTTTAGTAAAAACCATGATTAGAGCTGGTTATTATTGGCCAAAAATGAGAGAAGACGCGGAAAATTTTGTGGCTAAATGTGACAAGTGCCAAAGATACGGTAACAACATGCATAGACCTGCTGAATTATTACATCCAGTCATTGCACCACGACCTTTTATGAAATGGTGGATGGATATCGTGGGTCCACCACCGCAAGCCAAATGCAAGGTAAGATTTTAGCTCGTACTTACTGATTACTTTACTAAGTGGGTAGAAGCAGGAGCTTTTAAACAGGTACGAGAAAAAGAGGTTAGAGATTTCATTTGGCGAAACGTCATATGCCGATTTGGGGTACCAAAGGAAATCGTATGTGATAATGACCCGCAATTTATAGGCATGCAAATCACAGAATTCTTTCAAAGTTAGCATATTAAAAGGATAACTTCAATGCCTTACCATCCAGTAGGTAATGGGCAAGCTGAATCAACAAATAAAGTCATTATCAATAACTTGAAGAAAAGGTTGGAGGCCTCCAAAGGCAAATGGCCAGAAGTGTTACCTAGGGTCTTGTGGGCTTATCGAACAACCACAAAAACAAGTACGAGAGAAACATCGTTCTCACTTGTATACGGAGCTGAAGCTTTAATTCTAGTTGAGATAGGGGAACCAAGCATGAGATATACACAAGCTACCGAGGAATCAAATGAAGAAGAGATGCGAGTAAAGCTGGATTTACTTGAAGAAAAGAGGGAAGCTGATTTAATAAGGATGGCAGCACAAAAACAAGTTATGGAATGATACTATAACCGGAAAGCTCGTCTCAGATACTTTAAGATTGGGGACTTCGTACTTAAGAAAGTTTTTCAATCCACGAGGGCAGCTAATGCAGGAAAGTTAAGTCCAACTTGGGAAGGACCTTATAAGATTCATGGAATCGCAGGAAAAGGAGCATATGAGCTTGAAACATGGATGGCAAGATTCTACCCTCAAATTGGAATGCTGTTCATTTGAAGAGATATTATTTCTAAGAAAAAGAAATACCCATGGGCAGGTATCCTTATTTATTATTTTTATTTTTGAATTATTTAAATTTTACTAACGATTTTAGATAATAGGCAAAAAGCTAGCCCGTACTAAATGATGAATTGCGACCTGCAAGACACGCGGAAAGAACATAATTCCCGGTCTAGGGTTACAACTATTATGATTTGAAATTTAAAAAGGTTAAGCAGTCTTCATCTAAAATCGTACCTCCGAGTCCCGTTTGTTTTTCCTTTTTAAGAAAAGGACCGCATGGGAGGAATAATCAAATGCTTGAGATTTCATACTTCAAAGCTCAAACACTTGGGGGACTATATAATATACATATGATATATGTATAAAGAAGGCAAAGAAGACTGAAGTTCAAGTCAAGCCCAAAAGTCTACTCATCTTATGAATCAAGTTCAGAGCAAAGTTACGAGCCAATAACACAAAGCCAGTAAAAAGAAATGACAAAAAACCTTATAGATTTCAAAATTTTATGATATCTAGGTTAAAGGCAATGTTTAGTCATGGGTTATAAAAAAACCCTTGGATTTTATTTCCTTTTCTGCATATCCGTTGTAAAGAAAATAGTTACGAAAAGGTTATAGAAGTTATTTAAATACATGTAAGATGTTATTTAAACTTGACAAAGTTCGAATGAAAAACTTTATCAAAGTTATTTCAAGAAACATGTGTGTTCCTATTTCTTTTATCGTACATTTACACTGTTATGAAGTGGAGACGTCTTCTTCATTAAGTGTCGAATATAAAAGGGCCCTCTTTTATAAATTCATGTTTGATTCAGATATCCATGAAGTTAACAAAGCATTTTTTTTAAAATAAAATTCAATAAAGGTAAGACAAAAACCCACGAATTAACAAACAAGACCTTGAGTATAAAGGCAAAAACGAGCAAACAGAAGCTCAAGACAATTAAGTTAAACAAAAAGTTCTTAAATCTTATAGAGGGGCTGAACAAGTCTACCTCCCTTTACAAAAACTGTGGAATCCAGTAGAAGGGTACTTTATTCCGATATCTCCCCCCAAGGGTGAGTTAGACTTCCCTATCCTTAAGGATAAAATAAGATCTCTTGCTTTGCCCACAAGCCCTACTAGCGTAGCAAGTCTGGTCGCTGGTGTGTTGTTCGTTCTAGCGATAGGCTCCAAGCGCGATTTGAAAAAGACTATAATATGACTATCCTATGGACCACTCTTGTCCAGTCAATTATTTCCGAACAAGGGTGTTCTATTCTGTTGGTAATAATGGAACAATTCTGTTCGTAGGAACAAAGAGAAGCAGATTTATTCTATACTCGATAAGTACCAATACACAATGGGGGAGTTAATCCCATTTTCTATAAGCGAATGAGTCCATACTTATTTATCATTATATTAAGTTTAGACTAAGTATGAACCTAGTCGTAAACTGTTTGTCATTTATACAAAATGACCCGAAAAGGTCTGGGGACTTGTCATTTCCAAAAACCAAACCCCCAATTTGAACCAGGGGTAAAACCACCAAGCAAAAAAAAAAAGGAGTCACACTTCACAAACTTTCCCTAAGGGGGAGAGGAAGGATCTAAAGCGGTATCACTAGCAGCAAAAGGTTCGATTTTATTTGAAGGAGTTGGGGCAGTCAC